TACACTCTTAGAAGAAGCAGTGTTAAATCATTTGGGGTTGCATGTTGAAAGTCTAAAAATTTATTGGATTGTGTCGCCTACACTTTTGGCCAACTTCAGATAGTATATATTTTCTGCAGCCAATTTTCTTAAAATATTACATAATAAACATTCTGAGATGCCAATAAGCAAACATGCATCATTTCATTTTCTCTCTTTAGATGGTTTGTTTGTATCTGTCCCGGTAGCATTTTTCATGTTTCCATGGTGATACAGGAAGATAATTATGGCAGCAATAGATAATTTACTTAATTTATTACTAATTAATCTCTTTTATATATTCTCTTTAAAGTATATTCATGCCAGATTTCCACTTATTGGCAAAATGATTACTATTTCTATTATTTTTATGGAATTACTAATATCAGTTAAGTGTAAAATCACTTGTAATGAAGTTATTGCCAGAAACAAAAAATCTGTTCAAGAATTTTATATATTCTTTGTTCCAAATCAACTCTAATAATGAAAGTATGGTTTATCTCTGAATAAAAATGACCTGATGATGAGGAATTTTACTTTATAATGTGCAATCAAGTGGCATGTGGGCCCATTTTATCTCCTGCTTGCTGTACTTACTATTTTTTCATGGTTTTTTTCTATGTTGATCCTTCTGTCCTCACCAAAGATCCAGTATTTGATAGCACTTACTTCATTTAAATTTATGTTACATTTACCTAGGAATATATTTATATTTATTTATTCTTAGCTTAGGGTTTTCTGAAGGTGAGAGCTCTAATCACTTTTATTTTATAATGAAAATATTTACTGAAAATGTGACAGTTCTATCACCATAAAGGAAATATTTTAGCCCTAATAGTAGAAATTCACCCAAAACAGAAATAAATTATCAAAGGAGGTTTAATAATACAAGAGAAAATAGCCACAGAGTAATCTATTTTGGAATCACAGTAAATAAGTCTAAAATACCTCTGAAAGTTTTAGAATTTCAGTTTTTATTAGGAGATTTTTTTGACACTTCAAAATAATTTGTGCACGTGGTAAAATACTAACTAGTACAAATCAAGGTGTAACGAGATCACCTGCTCTGCGCACCAGCCCTTATCGTCCTGTTTTGTTAATTGCAGATAACCATTTTAACCACCGTTGTATTTAGTTCCTTTGGTTGGTTCTGTCATAACTCACGTGCGTCTGTCCCTTCACTGATGATACATCAAGTACAGACAATATCTACTGACTGTCTTTTTTGAAAAATAAGATATAGCTTATTTCTCTACTTTGGCTTCAGCCTCCCAATGATGATTGTCAACTGCTATTAAAGCTATTTTATTGGTAAGTTTTTAACTTCAAATAATAAATGTAAAAATTTATTCTTGTTCCATCAAGTTCAGAAAAGCGTCACCAGACAACTTCAATCCCATGACACCTCCAAGTCATTCATCTTGACTCTGCCCACAATGTGTTTAACGTCTATTACACTTAAATGCTATTATTTAACTAAACATGTCTTTCAGGATTTGTCTGGAGATTCATTGCAAATGTTAGAAATCAGCAAATACTATTTCAGCAAACACTGTTAATATTCTGTTTGTAGATACTTTTCACCACGACGTGCTGTGCTGTGCGTATCTGCACATCACCACTAGGCACTAAATCCTGTGCCGATAAAATGAGAACATCAAGATCAAATGGATTATCTTTTCAACTCTGTCACTTAAAATCATGCTAAATTTTAGTTAACTTTATATTTTTTTTCTGCTTTTACTTTTATATGTATTTATTTTATGCTGATTTTTTTCCCTGGGCCATGAGTTTTTGTTTCTTTAGTTCCCTAACTTTCTTCCATGGAGTTTCTAGCTTTCTTTTTTCATCAACATGAAAGAACAAAATGCCATTACCATAGTGTCAACATTCTTTAGTCTCTTAAACGGTAAGGAAGTGCTACCCACATTCCCAGCAGCGTGCAGAGAAGCAGTCCTCCACGGTGTTCCTGCCAGTCTGGAACTCTCTCCTCAAGCCACATCCTTGGAGTGGGGCTTCCCTTCAGCTGGAGCCACATTGATTCAAGTGAAGGCCCTTGCTCCTGGGAGGAGGTTTGTTTACGTTCCACGGCAATGAGGGTAATGCCTTCCTGCAAGGCATTTTGCCCCCAGTCCCTGCAGGAGTGGGCTGGTCCCCAGCTCAGCGTTCTCCGCTGTGCCACGTCCCCGGGTGCTCAGCGTTCCACTGGGCCGCCCACATCGCCCCGTGGGACCTGCAGGGCAGTGGGAACCCACGTAGTAAGGAGTCCACGCCGCCTCCTGTACCCGAGTGAACTGCTTAAATTCTTTTGGAAGTGTTTTGTCTACCAACCAAACTTAACAGAACTGTGACAAGCAACGTTCTAGCTTCCTGCTGCTTGGAAACCACCTGCCCTGCATGTGCCATGTGTCTGTTCTGGACCTTTCTAGCCTCCCGCCCCAGTCCAGAGCTGTGTCTCAGC